AGAAAGAAAGAAAGAAAGAAAGAAAGAAAGAAAATTTAAATGGAAGTTACCACTAACCCTGAAATTCTACTCCTAGGTATAAACCAAGGGGAATGAAGACATATGTTCACATGAAGAAATTTGTAATTTGTACAGATATGTTCATAGCAGCATGAGTCAGTGGAAAAATATGACCATCAACTGGTACACACATAAACGAATGTGGTATGCCCATACGGTTATATATTATTCAGCCATGGAAAGGTTGACACATGCTACACCGTTAATGAACCTTAAAAGTATTGAGCAGAATAAGCCAGACAGAAACGGCCATATTGCATGATTCCAGTTATGTGAAATAAATGTCTTAGATTTCTATTGCTGTGATAAAGACCCTGACCAAAAGCAGCTTGTATATTTGGCTTATGTATCCAGAGTCACAGTTCTTTGAAGGGCATCAAGGCAGGAACCTGGAGGCAGGAGCTGAAGCAGAGGCCACTAAGGAGTGTTGCTTACTGGCTTGCTCCCCATGTCTTGCTCAGCCTGCTTTTCTAACACAACTCAGGAGCACCTGCCCAAGGGAGTCATCCCCCACAAGTGGGCTGGGACCTTCCACATTGATCATGAACTGAGAAAAAGCACTATAGATGTGTCTATAGGCAACCTGATGGAGGCATTTTCTCAATTGAGGTTCATCTTCCCATGTGACCCTAGTCTGTACCAGGCCGACAAAGAAAAAAAGCCAGGACAGTAAGAAAAGTGGCAAATCTAGAGGTAAAAACTAGGTCAGTGTTAAGAGAAGCTGAAAAGTGACTGCCCTTGACCACAGAGGTGTTTTGTTTTGTTTTTTTTGGGGGGTGGCGAAAATGTTCTAAGGTCAGCTGTGGCAGTGGACAGACAGCCCTCTGAACACAGCAAAAACCATGGGGTCAAAAAATGGATGCATGCAGGGTGAGTGACTGGCATCTCAATACAGTTGAAACTAATATTTCTGAGGAAATGCTATGCTGGTGCACACTTCAATGCTGAGTTTCAACTGACAAGAAAACCATCATCAAATATACAAGCCCAGGGCTGTCAGAAGCGCTGGTGTCATCATGGCTCTCTATTGGACAGTCCCTTTGACATACATGTCTTGTCAATTTAGAAGGATTTTTTAAATAATTAATTTATTTTTATTTTATGTTCATTGGTGTTTTGCCTGCATGAGATGTGTGGGGTGTCAGAAGATCTAGAACTGGAGTTGCAGACAGTGGTGAGCTGCCATGTGAGTGCTGGGAATTGAACCTGAGTCCTCTGGAAGAGCAGTCAGTGTTCTTAGCTGCTGAGCCATCTCTCCAGCCCCTGTTATCAGGATTTTTAAGAAGCCAAGGTTTTCACATGATTATGGTGGTGGCAATATGATGGCGATGATGTTGGTGATTATATGACAGTGACCGAGATGGCGATATGGTGATGCCAATGATGTGATGATGGCAATGTGATGTGTGATGATGAGGATGAGGATGAGGATGAGGATAACAAACATAGTGATTATGGTCCTGACGGTGAAACACGAGGCCTGTCACATGCTGGGCAAGTGCTCTGCCGCTGAGCTACATCTCCAGCCCCCTCCCTTTGATTTCATACATCAAATTCCGGATTACAAAGGAACTGAAAACCACTGCTAAGATTGAGTTTCTGGTGTAACTGGACTGGAGCCTGTTTAGATTCTCGTCTCTTTTCCCACAGGCTTTTTGCCGGTTTCTACACCTTTCACACACTGTTCTTCCAGCATGGTTGTGGACTAGATAACGCTTGGCTTTGGCATCCCAGCCAGGCCACCTGGGCAGAGCGCCAACCTGAGACAGGACAGCTGCCTGGGTGAGGCCAGGTTCTGAGAAGGTAGTGGAAGCCAGGGTGAGACGTGACCACGTGCTATGGAGACTGAGGCTACTTGTTCCCATCACGTTCGCACTTAGGGGTGTTGGGAGCTTGCCCCCACTTGCCCACTTACCCACCTCATAACCAGAATGATTTTTTTTTCTTTTGCCCCCTGAGGTGTCTCTGAGTCACTCCACCCATGGAAACCTCCTCACTCTAACCTCAGGCAAAGCAGAGTGGCCAACAGTTTCTCATTCCCTCCCATCTCTCGACAGTACCAGCTTGCTCACACCAGGGGCAGGGCTAACATGTAGGTATGGACAGGAAGTGGGCACCAACTTGAGCATCTCTCCCCGCTCCCCACGGAGAAGGGAGCAGGCACATGTATTGAGAATGAGTGACTGTCAAGTCTGATCCTAAGCACCTCACCTCATCTTCATTGTCCCCTCATGCAACAGTGTGATGAGGAGCTGACTTCTGGATGAGGCGCTGAGACGTAAAAAGGCTAAAGCACCTTGCTAGCCCAGGTGTCAGGCCCACTCTTCCTGGCAGCGCCTCCTCTCACCTTATGCACTCAAATCAGAAACAGAGAACAGTCAGTGGGCCTGTTGGACCACACGAGGGTCCCACACCCCAATAGCTCCGCTTGGCAGATGAGCCCTGGCCCTCACAGCTGACTTCCTGAAGCCTGTCACAGGCCGGATGAGGAGGTGACAACAGGGTGGGTGCTGCTGGGGACCTGTGACCACAGTCTGGGGGCAGGGCAGGAAGCAGTGGTGATGCTGGCGAGGATGGGCCTGCCTGCGGATTGATAGTTGCACCATTTCAAAAGCCCCCATTGGCAACTGCAGGTGTCCCCTGAACCCTGTCAGGTCTCTGTGGGACTTCAGGTAAGGAGAGGAAGGGTGGAAGCAGGGAGGCTGGGATACCCCGGGAAAGAGAGTTGGGAGGTAGAGCCCAGAGGACCCAGAAGTGTTAGCACCCTAAAACAAGAGCCTTGAGTCTCCGACAGCCTTCAGGCTCATCTCTAATTCCTTCATGTGCCCACTCTGGGGCTCGTGTGTAAATGAAGATTGGCCACAGTCTCAAAGGCTATTTCAAGTTCTGGCAGTTAGAGTCCTTAAAAGATGGAAATGGGCCAAGTGTGGAGTACACCTATGATTCCACCATCAGGAAGGCAGTGAAAACCTGTCACAAAAGATACAAGGGAAGGGAGAAGGGGGAGAGGAAAGAGAGGGAGAGGAGGGGAAAGGAAGAAGAAGCAAAACCTGTAAATACAATACAGTGAGTGCCAGAAGGGGACTGATGTCCGTGGGTCAGTCAGGAGTGTGTTGGTCTCTTACGCAGGATGACCAGAAAGCTTGACAGGATTCTCCCTTGCCTGTGTATCTCCCAGCCCTGCATGTCACCTGAATTCTGCCTCCAAGTCACTGCTCTAGGTAGAGCATGGAAGGCTGGGGCTGGGCGTGAGCGACACCTGAGCTCATCTCGCTTCTTCACCTGAGACCCTGTAGGCACAGGAGAAAAAAGAGGGCCTGGGAGGAGCTAGACCATATTTCCAATGATCTTAGGAAAATCTTGCTAAGTAGCAACACTAGAGTTATGAAGTAACAAAAATTAATTTATGGCTGGGGGTTCCCAGGACCATCGGAAATGTGTGTTTTCTGATGGTCATGACCCACCAGTTGAGAGCTGCTGAGACAGGAGATAGAAAGAGATTAAAAAACAGGCCCCCAAGCCACCTCAAAGCAAGGAAGACATTTCCAGTCCATTGCTGCCCAGCAGTAGGCAACAGGTAAGTGAGACAAGGAAATGCCAAGGCAGGAAAGCTGGGCAGAAGAAGGGCCTTACAAGGGCACAGTGAAAGGTCCCCCACACTAGATCCAAGATCATAGACACAGGGAGGCTTTCACTGTAGAACTGCGGCTGGTGTCCTTCCAGGAGGCTCAGAACAGCCACATGGGATGCTCTGGGAGAAGGAGGAACTCGGGAACTCACTGCCTCTCCGTATCTCTAAGGAGCGACAGAAATCGGTGCTGGAATTAGAGACAGAGAAAGAGAGTAAGCATTAGCTCGGAGCCATGCTTGGTGCCACAGGCTTGGGATTCTAGCTCCAGGAGGATCATACATTCAAGGATAGCCTAAGCTACAGTGACTTTAAAGCCATCCTGAGCAACTTAATGATACTTTATCTCAATATAAATAAGAGGTAGGGTATAGCTCGGGGGCAGAGCACTTGCCTAACATGCATAAGGCTTTGGGTCTATCCCCGGGATGCTGAGGGGAATCAGGTAGGAAAATGTGTCCTGATCTGGGTGGAAAACGACACTGTGGAGAGCCTAAACCTATTCCAGATTCTCTGTACCTTTTTCTACGGCTGCAGCCATTCCCTCCCCACACCCCCATCGCCAAGCGTTGCTTCAATCTTGATTCTCACTAGGTCTGATAGTAAAGCTCAGCAAGGGGCTTCCTCCTGGCTCTGTGTAACCTTTCTTGGTCTCTCTGTACAATGGACCAAGGCTGTGAGAGCCAGTCCAGCTCTGGCATGCAACAACTGAAGAGAATTTCAGTCTCTCTCCTGAAGATCCCCAGCTGTGAGTGAGATGTCAAGCACCCTTCATTCCTGTTCCCACAGCTTTCAGGGGCTCACTGCTACTGTGCCCGAAGCTCCATGGCCACGCGCCTGTTCCTCCTGGCCATTTTCCTGCTGCTGCCACAACCTGTCCCTGCTCCCTGCTACACTGCCACTCGGTCAGAATGCAAGAAAAAGCACAAGTTCGTGCCAGGTGCATGGCTGGCTGGGGAAGGTGTGGATGTGACCACCCTCCGCCGCTCCGGCTCCTTCCCAGTGAACACACAGAGGTTCCTGAGGCCTGACCGCACCTGCACCCTCTGTAAAAATGCCCTGATGCAAGATGCTATACAGCGCCTACCCCTGACAATCGCCCACTGGCGGCCTCACGGCTCAGGCTGCAGTCGTAAAGTGACCACAGCCAAGGCCACCTCCACAGAAGGTGTGGCCCGGGAGGCAGCTTCTAACATCAATAATGACTGGCGTGTGGGGCTGGAGGTGAACCCCAAGCCTTCAATAAACATGCAAGTGTCCATGGCTGGCTCCCATTCCAACGCAGCCAACTTTGCAGCCGAGAAGGCCCATAAGGACCAGTACAACTTCAATACTGACACAGTAGAGTGTCACCTGTACAGGTAAGAGCTCAAGCAGTGGAGAGAGGAGCCGGAAGGATAGTGGGTCTCTAAGGGGTCTAGGAGCTCTGGAATAACAGAGCAGAGTTCATTGCCTCACAGCAGGGGTCACCAAATCCTGATTGCTGCAGAGTCGTTGGTTCTCAACCTTCCTAACGCTGCAACCCTTTAAAACAGTTTGTGTTGTGGTGACCCCCAATCATAAAATTATTTCATTGCTACTTCATAACTGTGCTTTTGCTACTGCTATGGATTGTAATATAAATATTTGAAATACAGGATATATATGACTCTTGTGGAGGTCAGGACCCACAGGTTGAGAACCACTGCTCTAGATTCATTTCTACTGCTGTGATAAAAAAATGTCTGACCAAAAAGAAGCTAAGGAGAGAGGGCTTATTTTCTTCACACTTCTGGGTTATAGTCCATCACTGCAGCATGATGCCAAGGAAGCAGGAACCTGAAGTCGCTGGTCACGTCATACCCACAGCCAAGAGTAGAGAAAAACGAATGTTTAGCTGTGCTAGCTGTCTCTATTCTTATACAGTCCAGGGCCCCAAACAGAAAATGCTTCTACCCATTTTCAGGCTGGGTCATCCCACATCGATTAAAGCAATCAAGACAATCCTCCATAGTCAAGACCACATGCCAACCTGATCTAGATAGTCCTCCCTGAGACTCTCTACCCTGGTGATTTCAGGCTGTTTCAAGCTGACAATTACTAACCGTGGCACTGGTCTTTAGATGCCAGATCCTACAGCCCTATCCATCCATCTATTCAGCTATCTGTCTATCCATCTTATCACCTATCTATCTATCTATATCTATCCATCCATCTATCCTGTCTGTCTGTCCATCTACCCTCCTGTCCATCCATCTGCCTGCCCATCCATCCATCTGCCTGCCCATCCATCCATCTATTCATCTGTCTGTCCACCCATCCATCTACACATGCACCCACCCATCCACCCATCCATCATTCCTGTCTGTCTGTCCATCCTTCCATTTGTCTATCCTATTGATTTGTCTATCTACTTATATAACATCTATCCATCCATCCATCCATTAATCTATCCTATCTATCTATCTATCTATCTATCTATCTATCTATCTATCTATCTATCTATCATCCACCCATTCACCCATCCATTCATCTATTCATCTATCCACAATAGGCCTTCCCTATCCATGAGCACCCACATCCAGAGAAAAGGGAGATGGAAGCAAGATTGTTCCTAAGCCCTCATTGATGACATTTAGATGCAGGCAGTGAGCACCTAAGCCCTCTTTCCCAGGCATTGCCAACCTACCATAGGGTCCTTCCTGGGTAGGAACAGAGACAGGAGACCCGGTTGGGTCCTCCCTCCTCACTGCACAGATACACAGTAACTCTGCATCATCTGAACTGGTTTCTCTCTGCAGCCCTGGCTGTCCTGGAACCAGGTTGGCCTCTAGCTCACAAAGATCCACCTGCCTCTGCCTCCCTGAGTGCAGGGATTAAACACATGCTCCACCACAGCCCACAGCATTTAAAAAAAATCTATTTCATTTATTTATGTGATTATTTATTTGGGGTGTGTGTCTGTGTATCTGTGTATCATAGTAAGTGTGAGATCTTTTCTCTGCTTCTCCTAAGTGGGTTCTGGGGATCAAACTTGAGTTGGCAGGCTTAGCAGCCAGCTTTACCCACTGACACACGTGTACATGTTTACATTTTTAGATGGCATACATTAATTCTTGGTTCTTTCTTATCCCAACTCCTGCTGGCCCCTTCTTTTTCCCAACTAGCCCGCTCTACTTTCGTGTCTGTGTATGTATGGGAGAGATCTGGAAGGGGCTACTGAATCAGGGAAACACCACCCACTAAGCTCACCCAATGCTCTGCCCTCCTCCACAGCTTTCGCCTGATACAAAGACCCCCGCTGCACCCTGATTTCAGAAGGGCACTCAGGGACCTTCCCCCCAACTTTAACACCTCCACACAGCATGCTTACCACAGGCTCATCTCCTCCTATGGCACCCACTTTATTACGGCGTTGGACCTAGGGGGCCGCATCTCAGTTGTCACGGCCCTGCGTACCTGTGAGCTGAGCCTGAATGGGTTCACAGCTAATGAGGTAGCGGACTGCCTGAACGTGGAGGCCCAGGTCAGCATCGGCGCCCACCTCAGTGCCTCAAATGAACTCAAAGCTTGCGAGGAGAAGAAGAAGCAGCACAAAATGACCACCTCTTTCCACCAGGCCTATCGTGAGCGTCACGTTGAGGTGGTTGGTGGCCCCCTTGACTCAACACATGACCTGCTGTTTGGGAACCAAGCTACACCTGAGCAGTTCTCAACGTGGATAGGCTCACTGTCCGGCAGGCCTGGTCTAGTGGACTACAGCCTGGAGCCCCTGCACATGCTGCTGGAAGAACTGGACCTGAAGCGCGAGGCACTGAGACGGGCTATCAGCCATTATGTGATGAGCAGGGCTCGCTGGCGAGACTGTAACCGGCCCTGCAGGCCAGGCCAGCATAAGAGTGCTCGTGACTCGTGCCAATGCGTATGCCACGATTCGAAGGTCATCAACCAGGACTGCTGTCCACGCCAGAGGGGCTTGGCCCGTCTGGTGGTGACCAATTTCAAGGCAAAGGGTCTGTGGGGAGACTACTTCACAGCCACTGATGCTTATCTGAAGGTCTTCTTTGGTGGCCAAGAGCTTAGGACCAATACAATATGGAATAATAACAACCCCAAGTGGGCCGACAGGCTGGACTTTGGGGATGTGCTCCTGGCCGCAGGGGGACCCCTGAGGGTACAAGTCTGGGATGCCGATCACGGTTGGGATGATGACCTTCTTGGTTCTTGTGACAAGTCTCCCAACTCTGGTTTCCATCAGGTGCATTGTGGCCTGAACCACGGCAGTATAGAATTCCTCTACCATGCCAAGTGTTTGCCCCATCTCACGGGAACGACCTGCCTGCAGTATGCCCCCCAGGGGCTTCTAGGAGACCCTCCAGGAAACCGAAGTGGGGCTGTATGGTAAAACTAACACGCCTGAAAGCTGGGCAGTGGTGGCGTGTGCCTTTAATTCCAGCACTTGAGAGGTGGAGACAGGCAAATAGCATGCCTAACCTTAACAACCCTAACCCTAACCTTGCAGGGAGATCCACAATGGCTTAATAATGCAGTGGGGAGTGTGGCTTGAACCTCTCCCTGAAGTGGCTAAGTTTAACAATAGAGATTCCCTGATTCTCCCTGTCCACACTGCCTCAGCCCTCCAATACCCCCAAGCCTGGAAGCTACTGCTGCACAGCATAAACCCTGGCCAGAAGCTGTCTCCACCCAGCTTTAAGACCCTCCCTCCTTGACATAGCAAGATCAACTGTTAGAGGCAATCCCAGAGGCCCTGTGTACCTTTTGTCTCTCACTCTGCTCCTGATGAATCCTGTGTTGCCAAGCACATGGCTTGACAGAGGGCCTATAAAAATGATGCGAGGTAAGCATGCTGGTGGCATTGTGGCACAGAAGTGGGGAGAAAGGGTGCCCCAGAGACAGACTTCTATGCAGTTTGATAAAATGGGCCGGCAAGTACTGTAAGTGAGCTGTTTTTTGGTTTTGGTTTTGTTTTGTTTTGTAATTTTGCTGGTAATGTAGGACCCCAAAATACCTTCCGCTCTGAGTCAACAAACAGTAGCATTAACTTGGTAATAAATAATGATGAGCATTCAGTTTCTGGCTGAAAGACAATGTGGAGGGGTGGGGACTGTGGGGCGCTGCAGGGGCACCCTTAAATGGCTGCATCTATACTCGGGAAATTCGAGCCCAGCACCACAGGCTCTTCTGGCTTCTTTTATTTGCATTTATCTATTTGTGTGTGTGTGTGTGTGTGTGTGTGTGTGTGTGTGTGAACATGCATGTGCCTATGTATGCCATAGCACAAATGTGGAAGTCAGAAGACAACATGCAGGTCAGTTCTCACCTCCCATCATGTGGGTTCCAGTTATCAAATGCAGAAATGTTGCTCAAGTTCTCAGACTTGACAGAAAGCACTTTTTTTTGTTTTTCAAGACAGGGTTTCCCTGTGTAGCCTTGGCTGTCCTAGACTCTCTTTGTAGACCAGGCTGGCCTTGAACTCGGCAATCTGTCTGTCTCTACCTCCCTGAGTGTTAGCATTAAAGGCATGTACCACCACGCCTGGCTTGAACAGCAAGTACCTTAGCCCCAGTGAGCCATCTCCAGCCCCTTCTCACCTCTCCTCCTCCTAATCAAGATTTATTTTTATTTTATGCGCATGAGCATTTTGCCTGCTGTGTGTGTGCCTGGTACCCGAAGAACTCAAAAGAGGCATTAGAGCCTCTGGAACTGGAGCTGCAGATGGTTGTGAGCCAGCATGTGGGTGCTGAGACCCAAACCTGGCTCCTCTGGGAGAGCAGCAAGTGCTCCAACCACTGAGCCATCTCTCCAGCCCCTTCTTCTCATGTCTTAAAATAACCAGGAGTCCCAATCTGGATTCCATTTTACTCTACAGAAATAAACTTATAAGTAGACACTTAGAAGACAGAGAGAAGAGTGTGTGCATGCACGTGCGTGTGTGTGTGTGTGTGTCTGTGTGTTTGTGTCTGTGTGTGTAAGCATGTGTATGTCTGTGTGTGGATGTGTCTGTGTGTGTATATGTGTGTGCTGTCACTGGCTCAGGGCTGCCCATCTGGAAAACTCAGCTTCCAAGAGAATCAATGTGCATGGGTTGATAAGTTCTCCCCTGTTCTACCACTTGAAGGAAGCAGTGGTTCTAACAGGGTGGTCTGCTCAGCCAGCACCAGGATGAAGCACAGGCAAGATCTGTGGCAGGACTTGGCCATGTATGTGTGTAAGTTTGCAAGGCCGTTTGTAGTCAGAGGGGCTCAGAGGAACCACACAGACCCTGAGTGGGTTTGAAAGTCCCAACAAAATAAACTATGAGGGATGTGCAAGACCCAGAAACTCAAACCCCAATCCCTGACATTGCAGTGACTCTAAGTGCCCAGCAGGCGGGAGGAGCAGAAGGGTCTAGAAGCCTGTGGAAACCACTGTTCTTACATATTTCCTGTCTCAGCCACACACAAACAAGAGCACAGGAGACCTTGCATGACAGCTTGACACATGACACTACCTGTGGCCCTAGAGGTAAATAAAGGTTGTTTCGAGCCAAACCCCACTGGGAAAACAGATCTGCAGAACTGCGGGGGGCGGGGGGCAGGACTCATTTGGCAAGCCCTTTACCAAACTTCAGTTTCTCTCAAATGATATTCTGTGGTTTTCCTCCTTTCTCAGGACTGCTTGAAGGGGGTCACCAGTTTTTGTAGGATAAAAGAAGCCATCCTGAGGGAGGTCATTGACCCTGAAAGTTCACCCACCAGCCCTCCTAGTTTCACATACAGAGAAACTGAGGTCAGAGAGAATGGAGGGCCATTGTTTGAATAGAGTTTTGGGGGGAATTTTTTCTCTCTTTGAACTTAACTGAGGTCAAGATATTAATGGCAGAAATAAGACAGCCAGGTCTCTGATTCCTGGCACTCCATCCTGGGCACAGTGTTAAGATGCCAAGAGCATAGGAAGGAGAGTTTATTTGTATTTTTTAAAGATTTGTTATTTTATATTATGTGTATAAATGTTTTGCTTTTGCATACTTATAGAGGCCAGATAAGGGTACCAGATCCCCTAGAACTGAATTAAGGACAATTGTTAGCCACCATGCGGGTACTGGGGACTTAGCCTAGGTCCTCTGCAAGAGCAGTGAATGCTCTTACCCTATAAACCATCTCTCCCCTATTTATTTATATTTTGAGACAGGGTCTCCTGTAGTACAGTCTGGCCTCAAACTTGATTTGTAGCCTAGGATGACTCTGAACTCTAATCCCTTTGCCTTCAGGATTACAGGAAGGTACGACCACACCCAATTCTATCCAACCATTAGCACTGACTCACTGACCATACATGCTTCCTCTACTTTGTCTTATCCTACAGCGGGACTTCCTGGGACTTCCTCGGACCTGCCAGCAGTTAAATAAAGACATGGAGACTTAGTAATATTTAAAAGTTTGGGCCATAGCTGGGAAGATTCTCAGTTAGCTCATCCCGACTATTCTAGCCCACGACCTGTCACCGGGCTACTTCAGCCCTGTTGTCTGCTTCTTCCTCTGTCATGCTGAAGAATCCCCCACATCTGAATTCTCCCAGAGACCCTCTCTCTGCCTTCCCCTTCTGCTCATCCATTGGCTGCCAGCTCTTTACTAAAGCCAATCATTTACAATTCTAGATTGCCTTAGGCAGGTGAGGGAGGAACAAATATTTACAAACTATGAGATGACTGATGGGCCATAGCTCTGAACTATACAGAATTAACAATTGATATACAGAGACACCCCTTCACACAGTACACTCCAACCCTGCCCCACCTTCCTTCCCCACACCTGCTGGTGCTCTCTAGAATCACCTCCTACAGCCATGGCCTGGCTCAAAGCCCTATCGTTGAAACTGCCTCTGGGGAAACCAGCTGTTTTCCTTCAGGCTGGGAAAGACATGTCTGTTGATATCATGATTACCTGGAAAGAATGAAGCCCTGAGCTCAGATCCCAGAAACCATACAAACATGCTGACCTTGTAAGCGCTGGTGAGGCAAAGTCAGGAACATCCCTGAGCATCACTGGCCAGCCATTTCAGCCTAATTGGGGAACTTCAGGACAATAAAAAAACCTGAGTCAAGGAGGCAGACTTTGTTTCTGAGGATGACACTAGACATTATCCTCTGGCCTCTACACATACACACACACACACACACACACACACACACACACACACACACAGATGGCCTCTACACATGCACACACAGAAAGACACATGTATATGCATGCATACACACATACAGACATGTATACACACACTCACACACATGCATGCACACACAGACACACATATCCATACACCATATACATGCATACGTGGTGTACACATGCACAGACACACATATACACTACACACAGATATGTATGCATACACACGTACCTCACTCTTGTACTGACACAAGCACACATGCATGCATACACACACGAGCATACACACTCATGCATGAATACACATGCACACACATGCACACGTTCACACAGACACACTCATACACACACATCCATCCATACATACACACACACACTTCATTTTAATTTTAGGTGTATGAGTATCTTGCCGACATCTAAGTCTGTGCACCTCATGCACGCCTGATGCCCACAGAGACCAGAAAAGGGTGTTAGATCCTTTGGAACTGGAGTTATAGACTGTTGTCAACTAGCATGTGGGTGCACCTGACTCAAGAGTTGTGAGGTCACCTCCAGTTTGTTCTTGGGCCCCTTCAGTCCCCGAGCTGCCTGATAAGTTCCTTCAGGACTGACTTCCACTTGAAGATGCCCATACCTTCCCAGGGTCAGGACAGGCCTGGCACCAAGTAGGTGCCAGTGCTGGGCAGCATCTAGAGCTGCTGGAACCCAAGGTCATGAATGTTGAGAGTCTCGTTGGAGGTTAGGATTTGGGCTACTTGCACAGAGACAAACCTCAGCCACAGGAAGGACCCTGGAAAACAACAAGGAGTGACTTGAACAAATCAAGAAACTCCCATTCTCCCCACGCAGACCAGCTACCCAGACTCAGCCTATGGTCTGACCCCGAGGCTCTTCCAGCTCTAGCGATATCCTGAAACGACCTAAGACTGCTCCCCCAACTGCAGCTGTCCCAGCTGTGATGCAAGGAAGCTCAAGGGAAGATTTCTACACAGCTCTGGAGCTCAGAGGGTCTCAGCTGAGATGCCACAGCCATCTCACCCTGGCAGTCTGCATGGCAGGAACTGCCATCCCTCATCCTGGAGGAGGCCTGAATCCCTCTGCATCTCTCTTCCCAGAGGCCAGCCCTCAACTCTGGCTAGCCCAGACTAGAACAGCTGCTGTTGTTCTGCAGGCTAAAACCAGACTTTGTTGTTCAGTGTGGAGCCTCAATGGCACATCTGGACTCATTGTTAATTCCCCAACATCTGGTTCTTAACTTTGTCTTCAAAGAGCGGGAACGTCAGCTTTCTGGAAGGACCTTGGGCTTTTCTCTGGGAGCCCCCAGCCTCCCTG